CGATATCATTTTTTTATAGTCTGCCGGTATAGACACGCTTTTTTTGCATACTTATAAATCAGTATAAAGTAGTAATTTATTTAATTGTTAATTATTTTTTCCATTTTGATAGTTGTTATTAGTAAATTACCAAAAAAAATTCTACGTTTCATTTTTTAAAAATTAGATGACTGATAAAAAGTTATTGATAGTTTTTTTAAAAATAATAAGAAGAAAGGTGTCAATTTTACTTCTCAAAATTATGAGCCTATTATTAAAAAACAAAATTCTTATAAAAGTTCACCTTTAAGTATTATTAACAATTACATTTCATTATGTAAAAAATGTTACAAACAAGTGCGTTTTACTTTCTAATGTAAAATATCGCCAAAAAAGCTATTATATTTTCATGTTTTATGTTTATATCAAAATTTAATAAAACTTTTGTGAATTCCTATTTCTAGTATTTTTTTCAATTTTTTCGACAACAGCATATATTCACTTAATTTTCTTACTTAAAAAACTAATTTTACTTTATTTAATTAATATGCTACTTTTTTCAATTTGTAGGACATTTTTTTTCCAAAATGCTACTTTTCCATACTTTTTTGGCCTGTAACTAGACTTCAAAGTCTGATATATTCCAGGGTGTCTACTAACCGGGAAATCCAGGAAAAACCGGGAATAAGCCAGAAATTTTATTCAAAGCCGAGAATTTTTACACAAAATTAGAAAAATGTTTATTATTTTAATTTGTGTATAAAAAATCAATTTTTATTTCAATTTTTATAGATATTTATACTGACGGTCGTTTTTCATTAACAATTTTAGTTTCTCGAATTTCTCGTAAAATGTCATCATTCTTAAAAATTGTATTAAAATTCATCAAAGTAATTCAATTATTTTAAAAAGCCTTCCAATAATTTATTTTTAGGTCAATACATTTTTAATTAAATTTCTTGCAAGAATTAACCCAGATAGCACGCAAGCTTGCTGCAAACTTGCACTGCAAGTTTTGCAAGATTGCAGTGCAAGCTTTCTGCAAGTTTGCAGCAAGCTTGAAATGTCTGGACTGCTGCAAACTTGCACTGCAAGCTTGCAGCAAGTTTGCACAGCAAGTTTGTGGAAAGTTTGCACAGCAAGCTTGCTGCAAAGTTGCAAATTTTTTTTATATATTCATAAAAAATTCTGCTTTTTGTACCTTTTTAAAATTCAATAAAATTAAAAATATTTGCAAAAAAGGGTAAAAAAAACATAATTTTTTATGCATACAAAAAAATTTTGCAACTTTGCAGCAAGGTTGCAGCAGTCCAGACATTTCAAGCTTGCTGCAAACTTGCAGAAAGCTTGCATTGCAATCTTGCAAAACTTGCAAATTGAAATTATTTTCAAAAGTTTTAATGAAATTCTTTCCAACAATTCAATTTTTTTTCAAAATAATTTCAATAAAATTCTTCAGTAGAAATTGAATTAATTTCAATAATTTATCAAAATTTAATTATTTTTAATATCTACTATTTTAAATAAAATTTTACAAAAGAATTGAATTAGAAATTAGAAACATATTAAAATTCGTCTCAAGAATTCAATTATTTTCGAAAGTAATAAAATTCTTCGCAAAAATTCAATTATGGTTCAAAAGTTTAAAAAAATTCTTGTCAAAATTTAAATTATTTTTAAAATTTTGAATAAAATTCTTGGCAAAATTTCAATTATTTTCAAAAACTTTTTTCAATTCAAACATTTTTTACATATGAGATTCAATTATTTTTAATACAACTTTAATCTAATTTCTCGAAAAATGAAATTATTCTTAAAAATTTTATTAAAATTCATCAACACAATTTTAATTACCAATTTCAAAAATTTGTTGATAAAGTTCTTTAAATGAGAATTCGATTTTAAAAAACATTCAATAAGTTATTTTTGTATTTAAATAATTAGATTTTCGTAGAATTTTCTAATAAACATTGATTTAAATATGAATTTCAGTTAAATGTTTAGATAATAATTGAATATTAAACACTGTACATTTGAATTAGTAAAAATGTTTTCTAATTTGGATGTAAAGTGAAATTATTTTTAAAAAAAATTAAATTAAACTTTTTCAAAGAAATTAATTCTTCAAAATTGCGAGTTAAAAGTATAGAAAATTCAAATTTTCAAAAATTTTAATTTGAAATCCTTTTTAAAATTATTCAGTTATTTAAATAAAAAAGATAGGATTTATTGAATAATTGAATGTTTTTTAAAATTAAATTCCTATCAAGAATTTTACCAACAAATTTTTTTTATTAATGTATTAATATACATTAATAAAAAAAAATATTTGAAAAATTAATCAAAATTATGAATGTATATGCCCCTTTAAGACCAGGTTCCTCCAAAAAACGGTTTTTTTCAAACAAATTTAATTCATAATATAAAAAAGATTTTATAATAGATGTAAATGTTTTTTGGATTATTTAAATGTAGTATACGATGTTTTTGTTTTTTGTTTTAAATATAATCCACTTACTTATTTCTATTTTTTAAAAATAAATATAAAATAAATATAAATAGATAAAAGTTTTTATAGGTTAAAAGATATTAAAAAATACTAATTTAAACAAAAATTTTTTTTATATAATGGCAGCTGCTAAAATACGTTGCTGTGTGACAGAATGGCTCATATTAAAAATTTCTTTTTTTGTGATAATATTATTCAATTGTCTTAATTGTCTATTTTTCATGTTGCAGAATAACATTTCAAAATTGCCACCGGTCAATCTTTAATAAAATTAAAGCAAGAGTTCTATGAATTGATTCAGAACATGGGAGAGGAAGTACAGAACGAAGTAATAGAGTTATCAGAGTTGATAGTTGACAATAATAATAATGTTAATATTCAGAATATAATGAAAGATCTTAGTTTGTTAGAAAAAAATGAACAAATGGAATTTATTGATAAATTATTGGACTCAATACTTGAGCAGCGTAATGATAAAATAGAAGTTAAAGATTTAAATAAAATAATAAAAAAATTAAAAAAATTAAAAAATAAAAAAATGGGACGAACGAAGAAATATTTAAAGTTTATTTGGAAACATGCAAAAAGATTATTTTGCAAAGTCGTGGTGAATGAAGTTCTAGACGATGAATGGTCAATGAGTTAAAAATTTAATTATTATAAGAATTTATAAGACTATTGTGCGTATTGTTTGGTTCAAGATGGTCTCTAGTCTTTTTTTTTGCTTAGGGATTTTTGGAAAATCTGCATACAGATACCTTGGAATCCACACTCCAAGGTTATGTGGGGGTTAGTAAAATGAAAACAATAAAAACAAATAAAAAAAATATAAATAAAAATAAATACAATTGCCGGTTGAAAAATTCTGGGAAAATTTGAAAATAAATAAAATATTAAGCTTAACAAGCCCTACGTATCTCCTGCATCAATAGTTAAAATTACAACTATTATCATGTCAAAGCGGAATTTACAGCATAACAACAGAACAAAGATCCAAATTTTAAAATATAAATAATAAATATAATAATAAAGTCCCTAAACATATTTTCATGTTTCAGCGGATGTCATTTTAAATATTCTAAAGTATGAGTAATTCAACTTTAAGAAACTCAAAATATTTCTAAAAATTTCTTGAACTCTGTCGAGAACAGTCATGTTTTGATCGATAACATTTACTTTAATTTCGTAAACGTGTTATTATCAAGTTCATAATCTGAATCTTTCTACCCAAAAAGACCAATTCTCTAAAAAAGATCAAGCATTAGTCATGGATTCTATACTCTTCAAGTAAGAGCTCTCATTTCTCAATATAAACGCTTAATATGTATGATCAGTATTCCAATGTATGCCCAGTATGGGCATACATGTAGGTCCTTTTTTAAGGGCCGGAATGTCCAATCCAGGATATTCTCACATTCTCAGCTTCAGAATACAAATCTATATCCAAATCGAAATCGATTCTCTGAATATAAATAAAAATTTAAATTTCGAAGACACAGCATATTAGATATATCTCTCCACAGACACCTTGAAATACTTCCTTTGTAAATAAAGCAGACATATAGCCAAACAATGCCCTCAAAGCAACACATCTTTCTTGAATCAAACAAACGATATTTGTATATTTCATTATTTCTATCAATCTAACATCTAATCAATTATTATAATATAATTAATAATGATTTAAGACTTGTAAATAAACTTCATTCAAGATTTATTATATTATTATATTATTATTATTATTATTATTATTATTTATTATTATATTATTTTGGTTAGTACAATCAATTTGTTATAACTGTCATGGCCATCAACTATGTATAATTCTATAAAATATTTGCTATATTTTGTAATTTTATATTCTTGAACTTTTTATAAAATAAATTATTTGGGTTTACTCACAAGAAGACTGATTTCCATCAATAATTAATATTATTAATTACTGATTGATACATTCTGCTTGTGAGGTTTTTCCCTCCGTTTTAACGGAATATTATTGTTTTATTATTTCTAATTCCCGGTTCCCCTTAAGGATTCAGCCAAAGTATGAACTCAACGTATCAAATGAGTGTACGCGGATTTTGTGCATAAAAACTCATATGTTCTCGTAACATTACGTGTGAATGATCGCGAACGCTATCTCCGTTTTCGATGCTGCACGGAGAAACTTTTTCTTCTAATATTAAATATATTTGGTTATCTTTATTCTAAAAGTTCATTAGAATGTAGAGATTTTCAGTGCATTGTACAAAAAATTTCAACATTAATACGAAAATATGATAAGTTCGTTATATATTTTGAAAATAATTGAATTGCTTTTTTAAGAATTTTATAGAAATTTATGTAAATAATTGAATTCTTGTGAAGAATATTTTTTAAAAATAAATTAAATTCCCGGTTAGTAGACACCCTGGAATATATGTATACTACTTTTTTTTGTCACCGAGGCTACTATTTTCTACTTTTTTTCTCATCAAGGCTACTTTTTCCTACTTTTTTTAAACTCTTAATGCAGTGCGAAGCCTGCAGAAATTTAAAAATCGATAAATCGAAGTATAAAAAGAAACTATTAACCCTTTAATAATTTAAATTTAATAATTAACCCTTTAAACTATTAACCCATTGAATTCTCCCGCGATTCTTATATATGCGCCAAGGCCACTGAGCCACGAAGAGATAGCGGGTCAAAGTGCAGGCCCGAAATTAATAAGCAAATAGTGGGGAGAGCTTAGGAGTGAGAGAGAAAGTTGTATCAGCATTCAGCATCAATGATCCACAAGGAAAAAAATTTTTTGCCATAGTTCCAGCAAACTTACAATATTAATAAAGTAAAGCATTTAAATAGTGATTAGTGAGAACGTTTATCCAGTTCAGATAAATTTTTTAATGTGAAATAGGTATTTTGCTATTTTACTTTTCTTAAAGAAATTGAATATTTAATGTTATAGTTAAATATTTACTTTTTTTATAAAGTATATATTTACTGTTACTTATCGGGTGCTGGTGATAAATTTCGAGCACACTGGGATAAAGAATTTCGAACTTTTAGAATTATTAATGATACGGAAATAATTTTCGACGATTCAAATGAAGTATGTTTAATTTTTAAATATAATTCCAAATTATTTTAAAACTTATTTGAAATTTTTCAAACTTCTCAACTTCTTGTTTTCTGCAGTCTGATAAAACGTCAAATAATAATGAAATAAGTGTCAACGAAGTCGAGGGAAAGGAAGTTCCAGAATCTCAAATCGGTCAGTGTTTGGTATATAAAATAATTTATTTAAAAATTATTTATTAGCATTAATCGTATTTTGCTTTTAGAACAGGAATTAGAGGTCAGGACTCTTTTAAAAAATTCGATTGAAGGCAGAGTGGTTTTAAACGTAATTCATTACTGACAAACGAGGACAGGAATCAAATAGCTGATATTATTTTACGAAACTAACTCAACGAAGAAAATCAATTTTGGTAAGAAATTTTTTTTGTATATTTTGTAAGTAGTCGAGAAATGAAGTAACCCACATAGCACAAGTATTTTTCTGATAGTTTTCCATGCAAAGTTCGCAAATTTGCATCCAAGTTTGCAGCAAACTTGCATACATATAAAAATGTCATCAACTTGGCAAGTTTGCAATGAAAACTTGAGGAAAATTTGCAGCAAACTTTCTAAAATACCTAAAAAAAATTTTTTAAATTTTTTTTTCAAAATGCATATTTTGGGAAGGTGACTACAATATAGTGTGCAGCTCTAGATGTCATAGTAAACTACTGCGCATACATTTAAATTTTGCTATTGGACGCAAGTTTGCTGCAAACTTGCCAAGAAAGTTACAAACTTCTGGTAATTTAAATAATTATTTAAATTACCAGAAGTAACTAACTAAAAATTAGTTAGTTAATTTTTTTTAAAAATAAAATTTAGATGAAAATCTAGATAAAGAAACTGAAGCTGATGAGTGGTTGAAAAAGAATTTATCGCCATGAACAGAAGATTTTAACGTAAAAACCTAGAATTTTATAAGATGTTTCTATCACAACAATTACATTTTCAAACTACATTTGTTTAAGTCAACCGTTAGGATATGAACTAGTATGTTATTATTTTATTTTTATTCAAATATAAATTTTTGTAGTAATGAAAAAATTGTAAAATTAATTTTACACTTATTTTGTTTAACACAACAACAACTTATTTTCCAGATCGATTTAGACTTCAATGATATTTATACCGACAAAAAAGATGCTCTTAATTCAGAATGGGATTCTTATGAGAAGGAAGTTATGGAGATTGCTAAAACCCGAAAATTTAAAGAAATGAACAGTCTTTTCGATGAATACAATTTAAAAGGAGATTCTTGTGGTAATAACGAAGTCATTAAAAACAAAACAAAAATTGTCATATTAAAATATTTCTTATATTTTAGTAAATTTTAATTCAAATGTGAAACTCAGATTTTTTGAGTTCATTAACCATAGTATTATGGTATAAATTTTATTTCCTCAATAATATTAATTATCAAAACTGGAAAATTCACGTTGTGATTTCGTAACGCTAACCTTAAACTTAACCAAAGTCAGTAAACTGGCTCTAAAGAAAAGCAATTTCGAATAATTTTTTAAATTTTACTACAAAAATATTGATAAATAATAATTTTAATTCCAGCTTCTGTTCCGATCGTTCTAAGGATATAACCACTTTTAATGCCTCCTCAGGTAGTAAAAGGTTTTAAAAGTAAACAGATGTGGAAACTTAGTAGACCAGTGTCTCAAAATGGATTCGTAGCACACACAACGGTATAATAACAAAATTGATAAATATGATTTAGTCAATACGTGTAGTTAAATATACTCTTGGTGCGACAATATTTTAAAAAACATTCTTATTTCTCGAACTGATATGGGTGATTCTCCTGAAAGGGACCACTTCAAGTGTCTCCAACATAAGGTTCATTATTTAAATTAATTTTTTATTATTTTATCAAGTTTAAATTTTTTGAAAAATTTATTTATATTCTACGAAGATTTATCTATCTTTATATAATCTTCTAATGCTTATATTTAAAGTTCTTCCTGTTTAAAAAACATATTTAATTTTGTCATCGAATTTTGGTTAAACAGAATGCATATTTTATAATTATATTTTAACGTAATTAAATAATTTAAACATATTTATGAAATATATCAAATTAAAGTTTAGAATATAACATTTATTTTTTACTTATATTTGTTTGAAATATGATATAAAAAGTTATTGGAATTATTAATTAAAATATTATTATCAATGAGAGTAAAAATTCAAATTCATCTCCGAAGCCTCGTTTTCTATATAATAACATTATATTTTTTAACGTTTTAAACATAATGTGTAATCTATGTAAAAATATTTGATGATTAAAACTAAAAATATTGTTTAAAAAATTGTAATATTTTTAAAATTAGAAAAAACGAGAATTTTTTCATTAAATTTTCAATTCATCTCCGAAGCCTTTTTTTATATTTGATAGGCGTTTTCTTTTGTTTTTAATTTTTTAATCATTTTTTTGAAATATTTAACCCTCAAATTAAATTATTTATTTAATAAAAATAAAATATACAAGCAAAAAGTGCAATAAATTAAAACAACAATTTATTATTTAAAAAAAATATTCCTACCGAGTTTTTTTACAAAATAATTAATTTAAAAATTATAATTAATTATACTTAACCTCTAGAACACATGATAATAAAATGTTCCTGGAGGTCTTATTTCTGAAAATTAATTTTGCGCAACTTATATTTTTATCTTTAAACATCTTCTAAACTTATTTATGAAAAAAAAGTAAAAGAAAAGAATAATTTGATTTATCACCCATATATATTGATATAAAATTTTTATAATTAAAATAATATGTTTTTATTCACAGAATGTATCCGAATTATTAGAGTTGTTGGAAAATCGTCGAAAAGTCTTGAACAAGCGTAAATTAACAGAGCAACCTTTGCTGATTATGGCTGGAGAAAATCTCTTAAATATTCATAAAAATTATGTTTGCGTAGACGAAATAGAGTGCAGTTCAAAATGATAGAAAAAATGGGTGTCTTCATTCGACCCATAGAAAAAACTATATAGGCAGTAAGTATCAACCGACGTGCTTAAATGATGGAAACGTTTCCGAAGCTCACAATTTATTCCTCTTAGAAAGACTTTAAAATCTATTTTTGAGACAAAATTTTTTTTCCAAATTGTTATGGAATATCGAAAACAACTTTTAAACGAAAAAGAGGTAATCCCTAATTTCATTCAAGGTACTCTATGGCAAGAGTTAATAAAATATTATGATGATGATCCTTGTTTTTGTTTTTGATGACTTCGGAACTGGAAATCCATTGAGTGCACATGCTGAATTTTATAAAATTGGTGCAACATATGTAAGCGCTCCAATTTTTCCACTAGAATATCAATCTGCTTTGAAACACATATTTCTAATGGAATTATTTTACAGTGATGATCGCAAAGTTTGCGGAAATGAACACACCTTTTTCAGTCTAATTGATGAATTCAAATTCTTGGAAACTGAAGGAAGTTTTAAATTTGCCTCAACCCGTAGGTAACATACGAATTTTCTTTAAACTTGCCCTAATAACAGACGACAATTTAAGATTGAATTCCATTTTTGAACTTGTTGAATGCTTCATTGCAAATTTCTTATGTAGATTCTGTAAATTATCGAAAGAGGAAAGGAAATATTCTGCTAAAGAAGATCCAAAAATTTTGCGAACAGAAGAATCATATATGACTGACTGTTTGCTACATGATGTTTCCCAAACTGGAATAAAGGAAGAATGTGTCTTCCATAAGTTGAAAACGTTTCACATTACAAAAAATATTGTAGTGGACATAATGCACGATATCTTCGAAGGGATTTGCGATTTATCTATTCAAAAGGATTGCTCACATCTATTGGATTTTTTAGTAGAACAGCATAATACTTTATACGTTAAATTATTCAAAAAAAACCTTGAAATTACAGTATTAATTATTAGTCAAAAAAGTCATACTATAAGATTCTTAAGGTTGTGATTAAAGTTAAGAAATTGTTTAATTTGTTCTGATGTTTTAAATAAAAAATGTTGTTTTACATCCATTATTTAGATTTCAAAATCTAATTTTTTAGTTTGTATTCATAATTATAATTTTAAATTATTAACTAAAATTTTTACGAATAGAGCTTTTTTCATTTCATGCAATTCTGAAAAAGGAATTTCATTTTTAACGCTGTTTAAATTAATTTTTAATAGGAATTCAAATTACTAAATAAGATTAAATTGTATACAGTAACAATAATAATAATAATTACAAAAAAAATATAATTATAGTCAGGCGTATTTCGAAATGCTTTTCTTAATTTTTAATTTGCGAAACTTTTTTTAATAATTGAATTTTGTTTGGGAATTTTATGAAAACAGTAGGATTTAACATTTAATTATAAATTAAAAAACCTTCAATAATTTTTTTAATTTATTTACAATTATTAATTTTAAATAATATGAGTAAATAAATGTTTTATAATGTTAATCACAGTTACTATATTTTAATTACTGTCTGCGTATTAATATTTATTAAAGTGTTACTTAAGGCGTCATTCAAATTTTCGCGCTTAAATGAAAAAGTCTATTGAACTCTCCCGCGATTTTCACGAACGAGCCCGCCAAGCGAGTTCTACCAATGAGAGAATTTTTGTAGCGCAAGCGCAGTTGCGTTTTTTAATTACATAAAGGTACTGCCACAGCTCGCTGCTGCGTGCGCAGGCAGCTGAGATACAATGAGAGTAAGGGAGAAAGAAAATTCAAATTCATGATTTTTCTCCCTCACTCTCATTGTATCTCAGCTGCCTGCGCACGCAGCAGCGAGCTGTGGCAGTACCTTTATGAAAAGTTCGCGAAATTTCTAGAACCTTCTGACTCATTTCAATTCCAGCATAATTTTAGTATAAAATAAAAAAACCGGTATCGGTATGATTCATTTGTCGGAAGCCTGTCGAAACACCACACCTTTTTTGCATCGTTAAAAATCAGGTTAGTAATTTAAAGTAGTAGTTTATTTAATTGTTAATAATATTGTTTAATGAGCGTTTATTATTGTTCATTATTGAATAATACATCTCGCGTGAGTACAATTTAACATAATTTTTCCATTAAGGCCAGGTTACCCTGAAAAACGTGATTTTTTTCAATACATTTTATTTATAATACAAAAAATGTTAAGTAATAAATTTTTTTACATGTGATAGTACATACATGAAATTACTTAAAAAAATTTTTTTTTTTTTCAAAATGGCGGTCTTGAAAATGGCTGCTGAAAGTTATCTACATTCGTAGATGGATGACACTCTCATTTCAAAACTATTGCACTTATCGATATGAACCAAACGGCATTTTACTCTATAGATGTCTGGCTATGGCCTCAAGCAGAATTAAAAATTTTCAATGAAAAAGAACAAAATGGCTGACTTTTGAATTTTTTCAACCTTTTTTTAAAACTTTTAATTGTTTATAACTTTTTTAAATAATAATGAATATTTCTGGTTCTGCTTGAGGCCATAGCCAGACATCTATAGAATAAAATGCCGTTTGGTTCATATCGATAAGTGCAATAGTTTTGAAATGAGAGTGTCATCCATCTACGAATGTAGATAACTTTCAGCAGCCATTTTCAAGACCGCCATTTTGAAAAAAAAAAAAAATTTTTTTAAGTAATTTAATGTATGTACTATCATATGTAAAAAAATTTATTACTTAACATTTTTTGTATTATAAATAAAATGTATTGAAAAAATTCACGTTTTTCAGGGTAACCTGGCCTTAAGAAAAAAATACCCGTGGAAAACGTCAAATTGACACCTAGTGCATACTGTCTACCTAAAACTTTCGTTAGTTTTTCCATAAAATAATTTTCTCGTGTTACTTACGATATTAGGTTTGTTCTCGCTAGCTACACTTTCTACACTTTGTACAAAAGTGTAACGAGAACGCCGTAGTGTACTACGGCGTTCTCGTTACCAGAAGTGACGCAATAGTGTACACCTAACTCCCTAGAAGCCTCTGCACTTTTCCCTATTTTATTACACCCGATTGCGAGCGAGTGTAATTGAGTGTTCTTATTAAAATGGCGGTAAATGGACATTTTATTTAAAATGCATTAATTATTTTATGAACATAAAGTTATAATATATTTCTTAGTGACTTTTAATTTATGAAATTATTAGTAAGCAATATTTTGTTAATATTTATATAAAGTACTACCTAATAAACGATTGCCATATTGTAAAGCAATTTTTAAATTTGATTATAGATATAGATTTGATTATAGAAGGGTCTTACCATTCTAAATAAATGTCCGTAGTTGAGTGACATTCTGTTTATTTTTGTGGTGTCAATATTTAAATTTTTTTTTTCACCCTACTTTTGAAAATTTTTTCGTAAAAGAAAATATCAACTTTTAAGTATATTTTTTTCATTTATTCTCACCGCGATTTTTTTACTTCATTATTCGGATCCCCTGAAGAGATACCTAAAAGTATTTGCTAAATATCTTTAGTCAGATTTTTTTATATTTGTTGTTAAAGCTAAAAACGCACCCTAGGGCTAAATATTAAATAATGGGTGGGGCTAAATGTTAAGTGCATTTTTCCCATGTTTTTTTTTAATTTTTCGTATTTTTCGGATTTTTATGTTTGAAAATTATTTATTTGACATTAGGCAACTACGTGGTAAAAAAAGAAAACCACTCACGTGAAATAAATCCAAATTTTTTTTTTATTTTGAAATTTTTATTTATTTAACTCTATAACTGTTCTAGGACACATATGTTTATAAATTAATGTTTACAAATTATAAATTACTTGTTTTAGGTAGGGGAGCGTGGCCCTAAGTTGGCCGTGGGCCTACGTTCGCCACCCTGCATTTCTCGGAGATGGTATACTGGACGAATCTATAATTTTGAGGTATGATATATTGATAAACCATGATATAATTTATGGACCTAATTATAATATAATATTCTTCTACGCATTGTGAGGACAATAATATTTTTTACGACCAAAAAAATTTAATTTTTCTTGTTTTTTCGAGAGCAGCTACAAGAGATAAATAATTAAAAATTTCTAAATGAGTGTGTGCGCTAGTTCCTTTATTTAATGTTGTAATAAGAGGTACTGTTGATTTTTTAATTACATTTTTTTTATTAGCGTAATAATTTGAAACTTGTAAAAATCTACAGTGGTCCTAAGTTGGCCACCTATTGTTTTTGTTTGTTTTTATTTATGTTTTACTTCTTTTTTGTGTTTTTCATCACGAGAAAGACCGTAAAAGTGTAACGTAGGAATTAAACAAAGACAAAAAACAAAAAAAATGGTTTAAAAAACATTAGAAAACACATAGTACAAAAAGGCCTGTCTCCACAGCCATCCACCACTGCTAATAAATGAAATAAAATAATGCTTCATTTTCTAAACAAAAATAGTTAAATAATGCGTTTTTATTCTTCTAAATGTATCAAATTTGTTAAATTTCTGCGTAATTAAAAAGAATATGCATTTCTTCCTTATACACAAGCGAAAAAAAGTGGTGGCCAACTTAGGACCAGGGGGTGACCAACTTAGGACCGCTATTTCTGAAATGTCCAAAATGCTGCTTTTCACTATTTATTGTATTAAGACTACAAAAGCCATTCCATAACGTTCTAAATACCACAAAATTATAGCAAAACGATCTCTGAACACTAATATATACTTGCCGAAGTGATTAAATCCCATTTTGATAACATTTTCGACCAATTTGCTTAGGCGGACAACTTAGGACCACTCTCTCTATACTTTAACTTACCTATCAGAATATTTAATTAATTATTAACGATAATGGATTTATAAAAGAATTTTAGTTAAAATACTAAAAAAAATTGAATTTTGGAAAAGTTAGAAGTAATTGGAGAAATTCAATTTATTATTTTCAAAAGTAATAAAATTTTTCGCAAAAATTCAATATTATGTTAAAAAATTCTTGTCAAAATTTCAATTATTTTCAAAAATTTTCCTTAATTAAATGATTTTCAATATCTACTAATTTAGTAAAATTTTCCCAAAGATTTCAATTAGTTAAAATTTTTTTTTATCAAGTTCTTCGCAAAAATTCAATTACTTTCAAAAATAATAAAAATTTCAGAGGAATTCAATAATTTACAATTTTTTTTTTTTTGAAATTTATCCGAAATAATTCAATTTTTTTTTAAATTTTAATAATAATCGTTGCAAGACTTTAATTTTTTTTATAATTATTAAAACTTATCGCAGAATTTCAATTATTTTAATATTTTTAATACAATTTTAATCAAATTCTTCAAAAAATGTTATTAAAATTCGTCAAAAGAAGAGAAAAAAGGAGAATTAAAATTACTCTAATAAGCTGTGATAATACTTGAAAATGTAAATACTTGAAAAGTAGAAATTTTTTTTTTTGATTGACCAAAATTGGCTTCCAAAGAGCTCAAAACATTCGTATTCGCGCTTTTTAAAGAAAAAAAATCTTTGAAATATTTTTTTTAATTCAAATTACAAAAAAAATAATTTATATCGAGAATATTTTTTTTCAAAATTATTTAAAATTTTTTTTCGGTCAAAAAAAACTTCTTATTATGAGTATTTTCCGAAAAAAATTACCTTAATTGGTTAACAAGAAAAAGAGTTATGTGCCTTTTTTGAAAAACCGACCAAAATTTTGAATAAGAGGTAACTCAAAAAATTTTGAAAAAACTTTTACACATTTTTATTTCATGTATATATTAGTATATGGGGCATTCCAGGCCAAATCGGAAATTATTTTGCTTTTGCATCTCAAATTTTTTTTAAACATTTTTTTCTTTCAGTACTCTTTGAAATGAGCTACCTTGATTTTTTTCAAATTTTTTTATAAAGCGGTTCAGGAGATACAGATTTTTGAAAAATGATGTTTTTTACGTAAATTTTTTTTTAAATGCTCATAACTTGGTCAAAAATTGATCAAATTGGACGTTTTTATAATGAAAAGTTTTGTTTTCACGCGTAGTTTTTAATAACAAATTTTAAAAAATTTTAAATAATTTACG